ATACTGTGATATATCAATACAATACTGTGATATATCAATACAACACTGTGATATATCAATATAATACTGTGATATATCAATACAATACTGTGATATATCAATACAATACTGTGATATATCAATACTGTGATATATCAATACTGTGATATATCAATACAACACTGTGATATATCAATACAATACTGTGATATATCAATATACTGTGATATATCAATACAATACTGTGATATATCAATACAATACTGTGATATATCAATACTGTGATATATCAGTACAATACTGTGATATATCAATACAATACTGTGATATATATCAATACTGTGATATATCAATACAATACTGTGATATATCAATACAATACTGTGATATATATCAATACTGTGATATATCAATACAATGTGATATATCAATACAATACTGTGATATATCAATACAATACTGTGATATATCAATATAATACTGTGATATATCAATATAATACTGTGATATATCAATACAATACTGTGATATATCAATACAATACTGTGATATATCAATACAATACTGTGATATATCAATACAACACTGTGATATATCAATACAATACTGTGATATATACAATACTGTGATAATACTGTGATATAATACTGTGATATATCAATACAATACTGTGATATATATATCTGTGATATATCAATACAATACTGTGATATATCAATACAATACTGTGATATATATACAATACTGTGATATATCAATACAATACTGTGATATATCAATACAATACTGTGATATATCAATACAATATGATATATCAATACAATACAATACAATACTGTGATATATCAATACAATACTGTGATATATCAATACAATACTGTGATATATCAATACAATACTGTGATATATCAACAATACTGTGATATATCAATACAATACTGTGATATATATATCTGTGATATATATACAATACTGTGATATATCATATACAATACTGTGATATATCAATACAATACTGTGATATATCAATACAATACTGTGATATATCAATACATATACTGTGATATATCAATACAACACTGTGATATATCAATACAATACTGTGATATATCAATACAATACTGTGATATATCAATACAATACTGTGATATATCAATACAATACTGTGATATATCAATACAATACTGTGATATATCAATACAATACTGTGATATATCAATACAATACTGTGATATATCATATATCAATACTGTGATATATCAATACAATACTGTGATATATCAATACAATACTGTGATATATCAATACAATGTGATATATCTGTGATATATCTGTGATATATCAATACAATACTGTGATATATCAATACAATACTGTGATATATCAATACAATACTGTGATATATCAATACAATACTGTGATATATCAATACAATACTGTGATATATATCTGTGATATATCAATACAATACTGTGATATATCAATACAATACTGTGATATATATACAATGTGTGATATACAATACTGTGATATACTGTGATATATCAATACAATACTGTGATATATCAATACAATACTGTGATATATCAATACAATACTGTGATATATCAATACAATACTGTGATATATCAATACAATACTGTGTGATATATCATATACAATACTGTGATATATCAATACAATACTGTGATATATCAATACAATACTGTGATATATCAATACAATACTGTGATATATCAATACAATACTGTGATATATATACAATACTGTGATATATCATATATCAACAATACTGTGATATATCAATACAATACTGTGATATATCAATACAATACTGTGATATATCAATACAACACTGTGATATATCAATACAATACTGTGATATATATACAATACTGTGATATATCAATACAATACTGTGATATATCAATACAATACTGTGATATATCAATACTGTGATATATCAATACAATACTGTGATATATCAATACTGTGATATATCAATACTGTGATAATCAATACTGTGATATATCAATACAATACTGTGATATATCTGTGATATATCAATACAATACTGTGATATATCAATACTGTGATATATATCAATACTGTGATATATATATGATATATCAATACTGTGATATATCAATACAATACTGTGATATATATCAATACTGTGATATAATACTGTGATATATCAATACAATACTGTGATATATATCAATACTGTGATATATATACTGTGATATATCAATACAATACTGTGATATATATACAATACTGTGATATATCAGTACAATACTGTGATATATCAATACAATACTGTGATATATCAATACAATACTGTGATATATCAATACTGTGATATATCAGTACAATACTCTGATATATCAATACAATACTGTGATATATATACAATACTGTGATATATCAATACTGTGATATATCAATACAATACTGTGATATATCTGTGATATATATCAATACTGTGATATATCAATACAATACTGTGATATATCAATACAATACTGTGATATATCAATACAATACTGTGATATATCAATACAATACTGTGATATATCAATACAATACTGATATATGATATATCAATACAACACTGTGATATATCAATACAATACTGTGATATATCAATATATATATCAATACTGTGATATATCAATACAACACTGTGATATATCAATATACTGTGATATATCAATACTGTGATATATCAATACAATACTGTGATATATCAATACAATATGATATATCAATACAATACTGTGATATATCAATCAATACAATACAACTGTGATATATATACAACACTGTGATATATACAATACTGTGATATATATCAATACTGTGATATATCAATACAATACTGTGATATATCAATACAATACTGTGATATATACAACACTGTGATATATCAATATATACTGTGATATATATACAATACTGTGATATATCAATACAATACTGTGATATATATCAATACAATACTGTGATATATCAATACAATACTGTGATATATATCAATACTGTGATATATAATATCAATACAACACTGTGATACTGTGATATATCAATACAATACTGTGATATATCAATACAATACTGTGATATATCAATACAATACTGTGATATATATATACAATACTGTGATATATCAATACTGTGATATATCAATACAATACTGTGATATATCAATACAATACTGTGATATATCAATACAATACTGTGATATATCAATACAATACTGATACATCAATACAACACTGTGATATATCAATACAATACTGTGATATATATCAATACTGTGATATAATACTGTGATATATCTGTGATATAATACAATACTGTGATATATATCAATACTGTGATATATACTGTGATATATCAATACAATACTGTGATATATCAATACAATACTGTGATATATCAATACAACACTGTGATATATCAATACAATACTGTGATATATCAATACAATACTGTGATATATCAATATATATATCAATACAATACTGTGATATATCAATACAATACTGTGATATATCAATACAATACTGTGATATATCAATACAATACTGATACATCAATACAACACTGTGATATATCAATACAATACTGTGATATATCAATACAATACTGATACATCAATACAACACTGTGATATATCAATACAATACTGTGATATATCAATACAATACTGTGATATATCAATACAATACTGTGATATATCAATACAATACTGTGATATACAACACTGTGATATATCAATACAATACTGTGATATATATCTGTGATATATACAATACTGTGATATATCAATACAATACTGTGATATATCAGTACAACACTCTGATACATCAATACAATACTGTGATATATCAATACAACACTCTGATATATCAATACAATACTGTGATATATCAGTACAATACTGTGATATATCAATACAATACTGTGATATATCAGTACAATACTGTGATATATCAATACAATACTGTGATATATCAATACAATACTGTGATATATATACAATACTGTGATATATCAATACAATACTGTGATATATCAATACAATACTGTGATATATCATATACAATACTGTGATATATATCAATACTGTGATATATACAATACTGTGATATATCAATACTGTGATATAACAATACTGTGATATATATCAATACTGTGATATATCAATACAATACTGTGATATATCAATACAATACTGTGATATATCAATACAATACTGTGATATATCAATACAATACTGTGATATATCAATACTGTGATATATCAATACTGTGATATATATCAATACTCTGATATATCAATACAATACTGTGATATATCAATACAATACTGTGATATATCAATACAACACTGTGATATATCAATACAACACTGTGATATATCAATACAATACTGTGATATATCAATACAATCAATACAATACTGTGATATATCAATACAATACAACACTGTGATATATCAATACAACACTGTGATATATCAATACAATACTGTGATATATCAATACAATACTGTGATATATCAATACAACACTGTGATATATCAATACAACACTGTGATATATCAATACAATACTGTGACAATACTGTGAATATCAATACAACACTGTGATATATCAATACAATACTGTGATATATCAATACAATACTGTGATATATCAATACAATACTGTGATATATCTATACTGTGTGATATATCAATACAACACTGTGATATATCAATACAATACTGTGATATATCAATACAATACTGTGATATATCAATACAATACTGTGATATATCAATACAATACTGTGATATATCAATACAATATTCAGATATATTAATACAATACTCTGGTATAAAAAAACAATACTCTGCTATTATAGTACTCTTGGCTGATGATGCAATCATTCTGCACATCTGACAAGTATCTTCTAAACAAACTACACAGAAACCAATCTCTTAAAAACTAAACATAAAACATCACCTACCTCAAGGATTTAAATCCAAGAAACTAGAAGTCAGATGCTTTTAAAATCCAATATTAACTAGCTATGAGAGGCTCCACAGTACGACTGCCTGCTACTGGCAGAAGAGGGGGAAGTGATGGTGTTGTGCCCTGGGTTAGCAGAGCCCACTGTTATCAGATAAAACCTCCACACAGAATCATCTACTGGGTGCTGGCATTTAATCCAAATCCTGGTAGTACTCACCTGATCTATAACCTAAGGCTGTATCCACACTTTAGCCACTCAGTGTGTATAAATCCTGTCACATGTTCCCCAGGACTGGCTAGCCCGATCCCACCAGTTCTAACTGGTTGTCAGCTGATTATGGGTAGTTTGCCTGACTGACAGCCCCAGTTTGGGAGTAACAATCCAATAGCATGGGTCCTTTGCATCCCTTTACCCCTCCCCCATCGGTCACAGGGGCCATTTCAGGGGACAGATATATTCCAAATGCCACTGAAAATCAAAGTCAAAACCATGTTAGTATATAGGAATAGGCCAAACTTTCTTTTTTTATATACTTCACTGTAAATAATGTTTCTAATATGTCCTAAAATCATACATCACAATTTTCATGATAGAGATCAAAATAAAATATAAGGGAGCTATATAGCTAGTACTTCTTACGAAACATCAAGGATATCTCAAAACCTATTCAATTATCACGTTACTAGATATTCAATTATCAGTGATAACTGCACATGTGGCATGAAATTTCATATACAGAATAGATACTGAATTTCATTGATGAAACTGAGTGTTATTTGATTTTGCACTTGCTTGAATTCTTTGGATAAAATTGTACATTAAGATAAAAACACATTTTTGTGAAAAGTCTTCACTGAAAAAAATAATGTATTTCTATAAACAAAGTGTGTGTCTGTGGTATTTTACTATTGTTGTTGAGATACTGTTGTTAGTTTTATTTCTGAGACAACATTTACAACAACAATGAACATTTGATACTGACTTATTCATTTCCTGGTGGATATCAAATATGTATACCCATAAAGCCATCCATAACAACATGTTAATAACATGGACGAAGTGTTGAAGCAGCCTATTTCCCTGATGTATAGTACGCAGCAACGAGTCTTATAAACAAGTACCGGGGACAAAGCATGAGGAGCACCACACACTAGCACTACTATCAGGAGTCGTTACTGTACATTCAAACTGTAGTCAAAAACCTCACTTCAATACAGAAACTTATCAAATGAAACATAAGTTTTGCTGAAGCTTGTTTTGGATGTTAACTATTTTTTTTTTTATAAAAGTATAACCAAAGTAGCTTAGAACATTACATTATTCTAAAAATGTAACTGTAATACTGTAACATAGGATTGGTACATGGAATTTGTAACTGATGTATTCAGATTTTAAGTAGAATGAAGACATTACTGCTCCTATCATTATGTCATCCTTAGAATAATGAGCTTGAAGTTAAAAATAACAATTTAAACTAATTTATTTCTTTGAAAACAGCACAGCCTATAATTCTGTAACAAGCCATGTGGAGCTATCTTGATTTTAATGCCTTAAATTAGAAATGAACAGCATGTGATGTCATAGTTCAAAAGGTCAAATTACATTAGTAAGATGACATAAGAGGATATATGGTATCTGTGATGTTATCAGTACGTGATATACATCTTGATCAGGGTGAGGCATAGTATTGATCCCTAACTACAAAGTTTTATAACAAAAATGTGAAAAGAAACACGAAGACTTAAATTGTTTTCTTTAACCTGGAAGCTGAAATAGATTATTAATCAATATGATGGTTTAGTATATCCTACAAAACAAATCACACAGGCATTTACGCCAACAAGTCCTACAAAATGACCTGCTCCTCACCACATGAGTATACTGTATATGTGACTGGTGAGTATGTACTAAAAGCATGCCATACTGCCAATTAAGACTTTTGACCCTTGCTCCAATGTCACTTTTACCACGTCACTGTAAGCAATCTTATCAAAGGTTCATTTGGTATAAGTTAGTATTAGAGAACAACACAAATCGTACAGACCTTTTTACAACATGGGTCAGATAATCTTTAATATTCTAAATCTTTCAGTAATATAACAAAAACAACATGTTTACCAGAAATAATTTAGTACCTAATCCTGTTTGTGGTGTGGACTTTGGTCAACATCAGCTGACCAACACAGCTTTAGGTGCTAAGTGTCATTAAGTCTGTTAGACAGTGCTGATTGGCTGACAAAGTGGTCAAGTAAATCGCACCACAGAACCCACAGCCCTCTCATTATAATGTCACTTTAATGTTCAAAATGTTTCTTCTAGTCTCCACTGCTGTTACTGATATCAGAAATACATGTACTTTAATGATAAATTAGTAAATAAGAGGTTTTCTCTTTTAAATATGAATTAAATAAAGGTGTACTATAGACAGTGATTAACAAGGGTATGTGTACAGTAAACAAAAGTATTTTCAGGGTAGGCATATATTGTAAACAAAAGTGTATAATTTAGACAACATTATTTCAGGGTAGATGTATGGTAGAGTATCACTGGTGTTAGTTATTAGTCATACAATGGAACCAGCCTTGACTTAATGATAAGTTATAAACAGCCTATCAGGTGTCATAACAAGGTAATCCTGTGCTGGGTAGATAGCACTCGTTTGACATTTGTTTATTACAACCCTTAATCTTTCTCTAGTCAGGTAACACTGTCAGTGAACAAACAGCATTGTTTACACCCCTATACATCACAAAGCTAATCCCAAATTCCCAATCACTGACACAGCTGTTCAATCAAATCACAGTGTCTGTCACTAAAAGCTATCTATAAAGTATTGAGTTAGGAGATTGTAAACAAATTTCAAGTTCAAACCAAATATTTAAGAATTTTGTTAATTACATGCAGATTGAAATCTGAAGACTTTGACAAAGAGTTTCATCCCTCATACAATTTTTTAAAATTATAGCATAAAGGTAAAAAACAAATCTGTAAAACACCAAATTACCAAACACACAGAATGAAGAATAAAGAATACAACACGCAGTGATACAGCTCATCCTTTTCTTCCATCAGAACGTGAAATCAACCCCTAGAAAAGTTGCAATCTCATATTGTAGCAATCGGAATTGCTAGTATATTTAGGTCCCAAAGATCAATATCACTTTTTAGTAAATTTGATTGAGATGCATACGAGTGTATGGTGTAGGGTAAAATTCTCAGTCATTTATACATGTATGTGACCCAGGGGTGAAACATACAGAAATGAGACTCTCTTTACTACACTTCTTTTGTAATAATCTTATTTCAATTCTATTCACACAATGATAATATCAACAAATGTAGATAGTATGAAATATAGTATTGGCAGATTGTGAAATATAAATCATGTGACTTCTTTGATTTATAAATCACATGATTTCCCTTATGATGTAACCACCTCTGCCACTCCTATGGTGTGAATGTGTTCATCTTACCATGGTCATGTTTATAGGGGGAGGAGTGGATTAATTAAAATCTCAATCATTTTATCACACAGAGGCAGGGAGACAGCCCTCCACATATAATAAGCCAAATTAAATTCCTAGCTAGTTTGAGTGTAGTGTGGTTATATAACATGAATCTCCAATGTCTCTCTGTACTAGTTCCTGGGGAAAGGTCCAGACCCGAATGAAAAGCTGATAAATGTAGACAATGAACACAGCATTAAATGTCTCCAAATTTTCTACAAATGATATAACGGAAAGTTCAAAGCTTTTCTTTTCCAGAGATAGATATGGATAGAGAAATAGAATCGTCTTAAGCAAGACAAAGACAGATTGATCTTAGCTTCACTTCAAAGGACAGACACCATTTCTGACAAGAGTCATTTAATGTTGAACGCTCTTCTCAGAAGATACCTAGGTATGTTGTTATACAGTGTTACATACACTACGATTACTGTGGCAGTTTTATTGTATACTAACTACAATGATTCTCTTTTACTTTGTTTCATTGTTCACTTAATTATCTGTAAGATTTCAGAGATATTCTCATCAAGTGTAACTTGACAGTGATAAAACTGTATGATTGTATGCAGGGATCCTCACTACATCAAATAATATAAAAAGTTCAAAATATTGATCCATCCCTATCATACTCATCTTTAAAATAATCACACTAGTGTTGGTATAATAGGGGCGATAGGGTACACAATTCAAATGATGGTTGGGAAGCCAACCAACATGACACAGCCTTGATCAACCCATCTACAATTTTAATATGGAAAACATCTGTTTCTAATTAAACTGCTTATCTAGTAAACAATAAAGTCTTTATAAAAGTAACCATGCTTCAGATATCTTGTATTGATAGAATAATGTACAGATAGAATATATCAATGTATTAGAAATGTTCATCAAAATTGTAACATAAGGCTGATATATCTAAGAAGGCTGCAACTAAACTTTTCTTCTATTATTTACACGTGTTGCTTAATTGTGATAATCAAGACAAAATTCAATGACAATACAAATTCCATATCCTGTTCATTGTACAAGGTTTAAAATCACTAAGTTTATGGTATTAGACATAAATACCTCTGCCACAATGTAAGCCAGAATCAGATTAAGTGTAGAACTTGATGTTATGATAGTAAAGGGTCACCATAAACCAAATCTGTTGAGAAATTCTCAAGATATGACATTAATTTGGAACAGAATGGAATGCAACTAACCAGGACGGACAGACATGGTCACACAATATATCTTCCCAAAAGACTGTGGGGCATAAAAAAAATCATATTAGTAATTCATAAAAGAGTAAAAGTTTGAAGTGAAAATATGTATTTTAAAAATGAAAACCTCACCCAAATATAATAACATTTCCCTGTGTTATCTGAGTTTCTTTTATACTCTATATCAGAATTTTTTTTATATTAATTTTCTGTAGATTGTATTTGTTAAAAATAGTGTGTAGTTTTATAATATGTAAGGATCTAAATCTAAATATTAGAGATGAAGACTGTAGTTGTATGTCATTGGTTAGAGTAGCACAGTCTGGTCTTTAAACTCAGATATTTCATCCCAACTAAAAATAAACAAAATTTGTATACAGCATATTGATCTAACCTCTAGGCTGTTATTATTACACTAATTATTTTTCTACACTCCTTTTATACAAACCTACATCAATACACCGAATATAATTAAGAGGGCAGTGAGAACTGACGACCAGGGGTCACTCGAGTCTCAAGTTTACTGAAGATGAAGATAACAAGGCAGGGTGGGACAATCAGTACAATGGAGCATTATTCTTCCATCACAGCCGGATACATACAAATGTAATTTTAATCTACTTCACTAACAGTGAATAATGGAGTTTATCAGTTTGATGGGCATATCATGAGCTGCTGACTACATTCTGTGATAAAGTCCTCTAAACTTCCCTATATAATTGTATAGCCAATAGCTTGTACACATGTATGGCTACTCTAATGGTAAAATCTGTGTTGTTACACTGAAATCGGCCAATGCTCGAATCTGTATCAAACAGTACTAAAAGCTACACAAAGTCACATAAAAGTGTCATATTTCCATTTATTTAATAGCTATATTCCTGTAGCTGATTTTGAGATCATGACTAATGAAATAACAGATAGATATATTTCAATATATGTAATACTGAATACATGTCTGTTTCTTCCTGACTTAGATTACTGATATCTTACTTCCACCAACCATGTGCAATCCAAGGATTCATTTTATTCTTCCAACAGGTCCATTAGAAGTAGAAAAGTTAGATCAGTCATATTATGAGATACAAATGTTTAAAACTGTTCTGTTAATTTCGGATAACTGTCAATACTGGCTATATTTCATCCCAGTATTATTTAGGTTTGTCAGCCCTATCAATACTGCTGATGATATTTTGTCCCAGTATTATTTAGTTTGTCAGCCCTATCAATACTGCTGATGATATTTTGTCCCAGTATTATTTAGGTTTGTCAGCCCTATCAATAAGAAAGCGAGACCCTTCTCTATTATCCACATCCTGTCTACACACTAACAATGGTTTGATCGCTGATCGTTTTAAAACACCTTGTTGCATTCTGACTTTTCCATTTCCACCTGTTCACTTCTGCAACGAAAGGGTTTTATATTAAATATGTAATATATCATATGATTAATTTAATTACCCGCTATCTCTTTGGAGACTTCTCATTTGTGGTACATGATTTCAAACTTGACTACTGCACTTTTGGTACTTTAAACACAGTACTAAGTTGTTATTGTGTTAACTGCAGGTTTGTACCCATTATATCTATTTATATTACATGTAATGTGGGTCCATTAATTAATTCCTCATGGTGCTTATCAGGTACATTTACATTATTTAATTCAAAATAAACATGTACATGCATTCTGAACTTTATTACAAAATGACATAACATTAATTAGCTAGTGAACTTTGTGTATTTTGGTCCCTGCAGTAATCAGCCTATAAATATATATAAAATAATTAATACCTGCAATGTATACTTAAACTAATTTACATACCAAAAATGTCTTTTTACAGCTTGTTACTTTATCATGTTAAGATCCATCTTGCATTATGTCAAAAATTCAAAATTTTCCTCATTTATCTTTATTTAATCCTTCTCCACTTGATCCCATACACGTTTCACTAGTAATATGAAAGAATATCTATAATTCACATGAGTGAAACATATACCGGTATATATATGTATTCTGTCATAAAAATGAAATATATATAACAAGAAACCATTTAATTTCCTTCTTATTACATTTTTAGGAAATACAAATAATCAATTAAGATATGAAATAAGCTGATGTTAAAAAAGGTGGGAAATATTGGCACATTCTTTGAAATCAGACAGTCTTATGTTACGCTTGAAAACAAGACTATGCCATCTTGAATAAACTGTTTTATGTGATATGCTACCTAGAGAGTTTGTTTTATAAAAAGAAATATTGCCCATTTGAGAAACAAGAGACCCATGGTCCTTTATGATCACCTGAGGTCCCCTCATGGTTATTGAAGAGATAACCTCTAGATTATCTAGTAATTATTAATACAAAACTGCTTTTGTATACCAAATTAGAAAAAATTGAAAAGTTTCATGGGAAAAATGGATGAACATTTGCATATTGTGAAATTAGTTAATTTCAATTCAGTTACTGAAAGCACTATTCTGAATTATCAAGTAACAACATCACTTGAAAAGTTATGTCATCACTAGTAATTTTGTAAGATTTAGACTTGCATCATATTACATCATTACTGTATTTATAAGCAATGGAAATTTTCATTTAATTGATAAGTTCCTATTTTATGCTGGCATAAATTTAACAAGAGGCCCAAAGGTCTTAACAGTTACCTGAGTTACAATGCTTTTTGTTACATGCCAAAGAAATGATTTTGTTAAAAAAAAGTAATATAACTTTAACAATATTGTACACATAACACAAATGTAAATTGTGTATACATTAACTGCTGTCTAATGCTAAGGCTTCTAACCAAGTTTGAGTTAAAAGAAACAACACTGAATTTTCCTATGTAAAATCTTCTATCCAGGAACAGTTGAAATTTCAGTCAATTTGACCCACTTTTGGCCTTGCTCATCAGCCCCTGGGGCCAGTCAAGGTCAATATGTGCATCTCATCAAACAGTCAGCTTATACTAATAAAAAATAAATTCTAGTCAAGTTTGAACTATTTCTGAAAGAAAATTAGAACATCATGCTCAAATATGTAATTTTCCTATATAAAATAAAATAAATTTTACCCCCTCCCCAAGGGGAAATGTGAGACCCTGGAGTCATGAAATTTACAACTTTTATAAAGAGCACCATAAGACACTTCCATCCATGAAGATTATTTGGTTCTACATTATCTTGGTATTGCGAAAATGATTTTTAAAATTTCAGTCAATTTGACCCATTTTTGGCCCAGCCCGTCAGTCCCTGGGAGTCGGCTGAGGTCAATATGTGCATCTCATTAAAATGTCATCTTAAATTAATAATTCTATCGAGGTTTGAACTATTTCCAATAGAAAATAAACAAATAATGTTTCCCTAGGGAAACAGAAACAAAATGAGATACATGTAAATAGACACCCAGCACAGTTAGATGTCTGATCTAGTAGTTCTACTTAACCATAGATGTACATTACATATACCTGTAAATTTCCAGTAGTTGATAATCAATTTGTATACACCTTTGGTATGTTTTAGCATTCAAAATTTCTACTTAGTTTTTGTAATAACAACCAGCATAACACAACTTGTTTCCAGCTAGTAAGTTACCAACAAGGTAGTAAGAGTTATCTTTCTTGGCTTCTAAACCAGGTTGGTACATTCGTAATCCCTTAATTATTCATAAAGAATTCAGAGGCATGTGGTTTAAGCCTATTCATTATAAAAATTACAGCAGTAGACAAATAGGCGATACAGATAAATTATGTATAAGCTCATGGAAAAATATGTTTGATTTTTCCACTGAGATTTCATCCAGACAATCTTGTGTTTTGTCTAGGATTAGTTGGGGCAAAAAGAATCAATGCTCAATACAGTTAACTCAATCTGATCAGAGGCAATTAAAAAAGCTGTCAATGGCATGAATTAATCAGGTCCATAATATCCATGGCACATTCGTTTCGGACCCCTTAACAATCATTTTTTGTCCGCTACGCTATGTTGATGAACTGACACCAAGATAGCTTAAAGTGATCGTGAAGTAATACAGAAAGCATCATTTGAACGGGAATTACAATTTGATGACGGAAAAAGCAAAATAAAATAATAATATGAAAGTGATTGATATCTGTGTTGATGTGTGCACCTTTATATTTTGGTTGTTTCTTCTTAAATGAACCATATTTCTTAGCAAAACTCTTTTTATAAACTATTTAAATGAAGTTAATTTCATCTGTCGTCTGCAATTCGCTAGTGAATTAAAATCAGAAAGGAGTCATCAGAAGTGATATCTTAAAAATCAGCACTTTTCATTATAAGACGTCCTGGGTTGGACTTTCGTAACCAAAAAAATGCAAGAAGGCGTGTCCAACTATTCCTTATCGATTTTTATTCACTGGACAGGCGACAACAAATCACTTGCTTTCTATGATGGATGGATTAGTTATTTCATGATATCTGGGAGATGTTTGACATGTAAATTAAGAAAAAAAATACACAAATTTGCTAAATACAAATATATATTCACAAAAAAATATGATGGATGGTTCTAATCTGAAATTGGCAAATTGGCCCTTACAAAATACATAACGGCCCGGAACCGATGTCTCGATACCTTGTAGTCCTAAATTTTTCTGCTGATTGAAAGTGTCAAACTCTCCCGCCATGCTGTCGGTATGCGTTCGAGTGTCATCGGACTGCTTTATATTCGAAGTACATACATGAGTTCCGAATGCGCGCACCTGTTAATCACAATCTTTCTGGCGTTTAAATCCTAAGCTGTTTAACCTCGCATAAATGAGCGGCCTTTCGCGCTTGATTGTGAAATTGTTTACATTGGAATCGATATTCAGGTCGTTGCCAACGACGGTACTTTTGATACTGGAATAGTGAATTTAATCGCATCAGATAAAATTGAAAGCCGATTTATAATTAAGTGGCGGAACCGAAGTTTAGAGGGAAATTCAAGATGTACACGACGAGAATGCGAACCCACCCGGCACTACAAACAGGATCGAGTAGTTTGGATAAAGAAATCAGGGAAATTATCGAAAGTGGACAATATTATTACACGGCTGAAATCGCAACAGAACTGAATAACATCAGTAATGCCTTAGATCATATCCTGTTGGACAGTAACTTCTTAACAACTTCTCCAGATTGGGGAAGTAAACTCAATGATGAGGAGGCTCGCGGTAAATAACAAACATTAAATTACCATTTATTAATATTTATACAGTAGGTGACTAACACGTGTATTGGACATGTACGTATTGAAGTTACTTTGAGAGCCACGATTGAAGAAATGACTTGATGCAGTTCTATAGACTTATCGTAAAACCTAAAAAGTGTCAAACACAGGGGTTGTTCTTTCAGTTTGCTTTTAATACTTATCCCCAACTACACTGCCATATTAATAATATCACAGGCAAAGCCAATAAGGTTTTGTCATCTTCATGAGAAATTTAAAGATAAGGTCTAGCTACAAGAATAAAGAGCGATCTTGAAATTAAATTACACATTTGGGGATATTTTTGTGACAAAAATTATATTCATCTAAGGGACTGGCCACAAGTTCTTACAACTTACTTAGTCCTTGGAATCCCATTTAAACTCTGGTATTGATAGAAATAATGCAACACGAGGCTGCATTATATGCCAGCAGGAGATTTCATACCACAACTAATTTAGTTGGTAGATAACTTGACTGAACAGCCCCTTGGACAGACATAGAACATTTTACATAACATTGTTTCAATCTAGGACATTCCCATCCTCAATAATCCAGGCAATATGGTCACTTAAGCTCTCTACACCCCTGGAATGTGCCATGGCAGATTTGAAAGCACAAACAAAGTAATTTGATTGGATGAAGGAGAAAAACATCTGACCAACCGCAGGCTGATATGCTCCCATTGCAGATGACGAAGGAGCGACACCCATATTCAAAGCCATTACAATATACTGTTATGCGAACTCAAGATTTGCTTAATGTACATCAAAGGATCAAACTAGCATTTTCGACTTGTCCACAAGGTGTTGCACATGGAACCTTCAATTTTGCCATGGCATGTTCCATGGTTGCAGAGAGCAAAAGTGATTGTAACCCCTGGATTATCGAGGAGGGGAGGTTCCAGAAACAGTCTCTAACCCCAAACACAACAGACAATATTTTCTCATGCACATTAATTCCTACCAAACACTCTACCCCAAAGATACCTGTAAACAACATTATTTTTCCAAGAGCTATTGTTGTATGGAATGAGCTGCCCTCTTCAATTTTAGATTTTAAAACAAATGACTCCTACAAAGCTACCCTCCCACACTATCAGTTCTAACATAATTCTCTCAAACAAAGATTGGTTGTCTCCTAGGCTTTCATATGCAGAACCTCTGATATAATTTCAACCTGATGAACTAGGTCATTACATGGTAGATGTAGTCTTGAATTGCCTAAATATGGGTCTGTGATGGAAGTTAGAGCATAATTGTCAATATTTATTGTGAATGCTACAGATATACATGGTAGATACAATGCACTTAAAAATAGCTTGTTAAGAACAAGCTACATTATCTTACATGTTCACTTTCCTCTGTGGGTTTTAGTATTTCCTTTCAACATGAAACATTTGTTCCCTTAGGGAAACAGTGATATTACATTTGAACTAATAACACTTAACATCAAGATTTAAATGACAAGGATGTGATCAAATTTATAAAAAAAAAAAATGGTTAATATTTTACCTTTTGGTTCAAAGCTTTTCAGGGGTACTTATATCGCTGTCATTATAGAAAAGATCTTCATTTTTCTCTTCTGGAAATCAAACGTAAGACATTTTATTTAATAGTATGACCCTTTACCGAAATAGTTGGATATATACACTGTGAGTCAAACTGGTAGGTTTAACAACTGGTACTTTACAAGGATGAAATATTTCCCCTCTAGAAAAAGAGTTTGTCAAGGGGTTACAGAAATACCAGAGAAATAATGTTGAAATCAAACTTGTGACCTGTACCTGAAAATACTGACAATTGTACCATATATTAGTACTGGGTAGTTGGCTTTTTATCACCACCAATATTAATGCAGTATCCTTTTTCATGCTTTCTGTTTTCTGTTTTAGGTGCTGGTGCCATACTCATTAAGATAGCTGGATTCTTAAATGAATATAAATCTGTAATGGCCAACAGGGCAATAGAAATGGCTCAGGAAGTCAACATTAGACAAAATCACCACTGGGCAATGGAAAACCTTTTAAATCTACAACAGGTGAGATTATACCTATTGCTGGGCAATGGAAAAATGTTATAAATCTACAACAGGTGAGATTATACCTATTAGTGGACAATGGAAAACCTTTTAAATCTACAACAGGTGAGATTATACCTATTGCTGGGCAATGGAAAAATGTTATAAATCTACAACAGGTGAGATTATACCTATCAGTGGACAATGGAAAACCTTTTAAATCTACAACAGGTGAGATTATACCTATTGCTGGGCAATGGAAAAATGTTATAAATCTACAACAGGTGAGATTATACCTATTAGTGGACAATGGAAAACCTTTTAAATCTACAACAGGTGAGATTATACCTATTGCTGGGCAATGGAAAAATGTTATAAATCTACAACAGGTGAGATTATACCTATCAGTGGACAATGGAAAACCTTTTAAATCTACAACAGGTGAGATTATACCTATTGCTGGGCAATGGAAAAATGTTATAAATCTACAACAGGTGAGATTATACCTATTAGTGGGCAATGGAAAAAAGTTATAAATCTACAACAGGTGAGATTATACCTATCAGTGGACAATGGAAAACCTTTTAAATCTACAACAGGTGAGATTATACCTATTAGTGGGCAATGGAAAAAAGTTATAAATCTACAACAGGTGAGATTATACCTATTAGTGGGCAATGGAAAAAAGTTATAAATCTACAACAGGTGAGATTATACCTATCAGTGGACAATGGAAAACCTTTTAAATCTACAACAGGTGAGATTATACCTATTAGTGGGCAATGGAAAAAAGTTATAAATCTACAACAGGTGAGATTATACCTATTAGTGGGCAATGGAAAAAAGTTATAAATCTACAACAGGTGAGATTATACCTATTAGTGGGCAATGGAAAAAAGTTATAGATCTACAACAGGTGAGATTATACCTATCAGTGGGCAATGGAAAACCTTTTAAATCTACAACAGGTGAGATTATACCTATTAGTGGGCAATGGAAAAAAGTTATAAATCTACAGCAGGTGAGATTATACCTATGGACAATAGTGGGCAATGGGCAAAAAAGTTATAAATCTACAACAGGTGAGATTATACCTATTAGTGGGCAATGGAAAAAAGTTATAAATCTACAACAGGTGAGATTATACCTATTAGTGGGCAATGGAAAAAAGTTATAGATCTACAACAGGTGAGATTATACCTATCAGTGGGCAATGGAAAATGTTAAAAATCTACAACAGGTGAGATTACACCTATCAGTGGGCAATGGAAAATGTTAAAAATCTACAACAGGTGGGATTATACCTATTAGTGGGCAATAGAAAATATTACAAATCTACAACAGGTGAGATTATACCTATCACTGGGCAATGGAAAACCTTTTAAATCTACAACAGGTGAAATTATACCTATTACTGGGCAATGGAAAAAAGTTATAAATCCTCAACAGGTAATATTATATACCTATCACCAAATCATCTCTTTGGTAATAAATTTATTTTCTGGTCATAGTCAAGCGGAGCAGTGAACTTTCTCAAACTATTTGTGATTGGATCTACTTCTTCACCGTTGGGATCACAAAGACAAATCTTTGTTAAATAAGCATGGGACACTTTAGAGTAAAAAGAGATTTGAAGTATGATATATAATTGAAGTTTGACTCAGATACACTATAGAGACTGATTTTTACCAGCCTGTTCCAAAGTAGTTAAGCTATAATAGCTATTTATAATCCATATCATTCTATTACAAATGGTCATAGATTTTCTAATAAATATAATTAATAACAAGACATTTGAGGCTTTGAATGACGGACAATTTTCATGTTACAGGGATCAGTTCAAAAGAACGTGTGTAGGATGTGATAATTCATTAATATGAAAATATTTAATAGAATGGTTTTCATTAAAAACTGAGAATATTAATGTACTAGGTGTTTAATATAACATCACATATCACAAAAATAATGACTCTTTATGACTTCTTCAGGAACTAGGGCCATACACTGAGTGTGCAGCTGACCGTGTAAGACAATTTGGTGACCAGGTTGGTGTGACTGATCGATACACTGGTTACAGAAATAATTTGACCCGTGGCTCAAGGCAGCCTTTCCGCATGTCTACTTCCTGGATGGACCAAAGTGCACCACAGGGCTACATAGATACACAGCGACCAAGCACAGGTAAACCCTTGTCCTAGTCTTAGTTATAACATCAGTACAGGTAATCTGTTGTCCTAGTCTTAGTTATAACATCAGTACAGGTAAACCCCTGTCCTAGTCTTAGTTATAACATCAGTACAGGTAAACCCTTGTCCTAGTCTTAGTTATAACATCAGTACAGGTAAACCCCTGTCCTAGTCTTAGTTATAACATCAGTACAGGTAATCTGTTGTCCTAGTCTTAGTTATAACATCAGTACAGGTAATCTGTTGTCCTAGTCTTAGTTATAACATCAGTACAGGTAATCTGTTGTCCTAGTCTTAGTTATAACATCAGTACAGGTAAACCCCTGTCCTAGTCTTAGTTATAACATCAGTACAGGTAAACCCCTGTCCTAGTCTTAGTTATAACATCAGTACAGGTAATCTGTTGTCCTAGGCTTAGTTATAACATCAGTACAGGTAATATGTTGTCATATTCTTAGTTATAACATCAGTACAGGTAAACCCTTGTCCTAGTCTTAGTTATAACATCAGTACAGGTAATCTGTTGTCCTAGGCTTAGTTATAACATCAGTAAAGGTAACCCTTGTCCTAGTTTTAGTTATAACATCAGTACAGGTAAACCCTTGTACTAGTCTTAGTTATAACATCAGTACAGGTAATCTGTTGTCCTAGTCTTAGTTATAACATCAGTACAGGTAATCTGTTGTCATATTCTTAGTTATAACATCAGTACAGGTAAACCCTTGTACTAGTCTTAGTTACAACATCAGTAAAGGTAACCCTTGTCCTAGTTTTAGTTATAACATCAGTACAGGTAATCTATTGTCCTATTCTTAGTTATAACATCAGTACAGGTAAACCCGTGTACTAGTCTTAGTTACAACATCAGTAAAGGTAAACCCTTGTCCTAGTCTTAGTTACAACATCAGTACAGGTAAACCCTTGTCCTATTCTTAGTTATAACATCAGTAAAGGTAACCCTTGTCCTAGTTTTAGTTATAACATCAGTACAGGTAAACCCTTGTTCTAGTTTTAGTTATAACATCAGTACAGGTAATCTGTTGTCCTATTCTTAGTTATAACATCAGTACAGGTAAACCCCTGTCCTAGTCTTAGTTATAACATCAGTACAGGTAAACCCTTGTACTAGTCTTAGTTACAACATCAGTACAGGTAAACCCTTGTCCTAGTCTTAGTTATAACATCAGTACAGGTAAACCCTTGTCCTAGTCTTAGTTATAAGATCAGTACAGGTAAACCCTTGTCCTAGTCTTAGTTATAAGATCAGTACAGGTAAACCCTTGTCCTAGTCTTAGTTATAAGATCAGTACAGGTAATCTGTTGTCCTATTCTTAGTTATAACATCAGTACAGGTAAACCCCTGTCCTAGTCTTAGTTATAACATCAGTACAGGTAAACCCTTGTCCTAGTCTTAGTTATAACATCAGTACAGGTAATCTGTTGTCCTATAATTAGTTATAACATCAGTACAGGTAAACCCTTGTCCTAGTCTTAGTTACAACATCAGTACAGGTAATATGTTGTCCTATTCTTAGTTATAACATTAGTACAGGTAATCTGTTGTCCTAGTCTTAGTTATAACATCAGTACAGGTAAACCCTTGTCCTAGTCTTAGTTATAACATCAGTACAGGTAATCTGTTGTCCTATTCTTAGTTATAACATCAGTACAGGTAAACCCCTGTCCTAGTCTTAGTTATAACATCAGTACAGGTAAACCCTTGTCCTAGTCTTAGTTACAACATCAGTACAGGTAATCTGTTGTCCTATTCTTAGTTACAACATCAGTACAGGTAGTCTGTTGTCCTGTTCTTAGTTATAACATCAGTACAGGTAATCTGTCGTACTATTCTTAGTTATAACATTAGTACAGGTAAACCCTTGTCCTAGTCTTAGTTATAACAACAGTACAGGTAAACCCCTGTCCTAGTCTTATTTATAACATCAATACAGGTAAACCCCTGTCCTAGTCTTATTTATAACATCAATACAGGTAAACCCTTGTCCTAGTCTTAGTTATAACATCAGTACAGGTAATCCCTTGTAAATTCCCTTGATATGGTGTTGTCATGGTATTGTGTACGTCACACACATTTCATTGGTCAACAAGGGCTGTATGCTGTAGATAGTACTAAGTAAGTGTCATATATCCAACTTATCCTACGTTACACACTTGGTAGGTTTACAAAAAACTTCATAATGTTGTTAAGCTGATACTGATTTTGTTGTTTTAATGATCTGAGAAACCTTATTTTAGGATAAATTTTATTTACCGTATGCCATTGTATCTTTTTCAAGTTGTAATTCCTTTCTTGGGCATTTTTACTGAAGCTTGTACTGAAGTTTATTGTTTGTTTTCAGTTGCATTCATTGTATAGGTGCACTGATTCATCAATGCCAAATCTCCTACTATCCTTGTTAAAATTGGAACATGCTATCATGTACAAAACATTTTTACAGTTTTATTTTCATTCCTTTTTTAGCAGGTTATTTTACTCCAAGACAGATAACAAGCATGATACCTCCCCGTGTGAAATCAGCAGCCTTAGGGTCACGGGTCCATTTTGCACAAGGAAGTGGACCTCAAAAGATCACCACACGAGGTAGGCCCTTTTCAATAAGTGAAAAAGTGTTCATTAAAGATCACCATGTACACTTAACACCTGTCTTTCTTAATTATCGTTGTATGTTTACCAAATGTTACCATACAAGGTGATTTCTTAATATTTAGCTCACCATCATTAGATGGTGGATTGTTCAAATCACTAAATTTCATATGTAAGTGGATCTTGGTTCCTAGATTTGCCTGTTTGATTTTCGAACTGATCAGAAAAACAAAATGGCTGACAGGCCATCTTGGACTTTGACTAAAATTACTGAAAGATAAAACATGCTGATAATGTATAATTTTGTAACCTTAAATGTGAGATATAAGCAATCTTATGCAATGCAATCGAATCGAATGACTATCAACAACCAAATTCGAAATTTTGAATATAATTTCTTCAAAACAGTGGAATTTGTGTAAAATCTATAATTCACTGAAATAATTTAAAGTTCCAAAACAAGAGGTCGTCAGTGGCAATGAATTTTGGACCCAGAATAACTTTAATCTTTAAAAGAGGTTATAAAAGGCATAATTACTTACAGTATGGAGCATAATAACAAGTTCAAGTCTAGGTACTGTAAAGGCATCGTTCTTGTGTCTTTGTCTCATATCATCATTTTATGCTGTGAAGACGTAAGATTTTCTGACACCACAGTAATTTTTTTAGTTTTTGCAGTGACTAATATGATCAATCTAACAAACTGAATTCCTCATTGCTGTTAGAGACCTAGCCTTAATGTCTTACTGATGCTGCTGTTTATAGATTTCTATAACCAGTTTTACGACGATCTTCATGAAACATGGTACAAAGGTTTATGATGATCATATCTATAATGTTACTGCTGGTGTATTGATTATTTCAAAAGATATTTTCTCAAGAGTCTTTATGACAATTACTGTTGCTGGTTGTCACTTAGAATTGAAAAGTGTTGTTGGTGATCCTATGTATATGTTCTGCCACATCACCCAGTCACGCAGAATTACTTTAAACAAGAGTAATGCTAGTTCATGATTGATGCAGATATCAATCTGAATTGTGTCAGGAACAACTAGTCTGTCAGTTTTGATAAGTTTTATTAGAGTACCTGCTTGTCTCACAGCAAAGGTATATATACATTACACTGCATAACAAATTGAATTCTCAACCCCAGTTCGCTGTTAAGCTTATCACTTTGCCATCTAACAGTGAAGACGAAGGGAAGTAACTCTAGGAGATTTGAATGCCCATTAGACATCATGGTGAACTCATTGAAATTTTTTGACTTCCCAGAAAGTGAGGATTGGTTATAACATCTAGTTCCAGAGACTGAAACTGTAACTGAGTTAGGTCTAGCTTAAAAAAATTAAATGGCTGACAGGCAGCTGACATGGATTTTCACAATGAAAGTTTGTCATTACTATCTCTTTAGAAAAACTAGATGGACCATTCTCAATTTTTATGTTATTGTTTTGGGAAAACTGTAACCAAACAATTATTGATTAAGAGTGTACCAAAGTTTACTTTGTAGGATAAGCCCTACTCTCTTTTTTATTGATAAAGAATCTACCAGTGGTTATTTTGTGGAAAAAGCCCTAACCTTTTTATTATTGATGAAGAGTTTATCAATCGTTACAGTGTGGGGTAATTCCGAACCTCTTTATTACTGATGAAGATTTTTTTTCCAGGAAATAGCAGCAACAAACTTTCAGTCAATGTCCATAATGTCCACCTGTCAGCCATTTTGTGTTCTGATCAGTCCCAAGATCAAACAGGGACTAAGGGGCACCTACATCTGACATGCGAGAAATTAACAAGAATTGTCAATGAATGGGCAATAGATCACAAACATAGGGTGATTTGAATAATTCACCATCATTTCTGAATTATAATTTGATAAGGAGAGCCAAATTATGAATCAAACTGCATCATACAGCTGTTTTGTCCTTCTAGGACTTGATAGTGATGGTAAGGGCCTAAATTTCAAAATCTAGAAGGTGACTGAGGAAAACTGGAAGTGATTGAATGACAGTTTCATATCTAGAATGGGAGGTGAACAATAATTCAATAGGTTTTGTAATATACAGTACCAGTACATGGTTATTTCAAAAGAAAATTAGATGTGTATATTCTGATGATCCTATCATTTTAGTGAATTAAAATGATACATGCTGGTTACAGCAACACCTCTGGCACTAAAACCCACTAACTTTTTTGACCACCTGCAATGGAAAATTGTACATCAGAATGGTAGATGTTTTTTTTTTTTTTCATCCAAAGTGGTTATTTTTTTATCTTTGTCATAAAATTTCTTTTGATCAGCTGTGTGGAGTTACATTGTGATACCCCATGTCCACCTACCTCATGTAAATCTTCAGACTCTTTTTCCTCATGTTGTTTTCATAAGTCATGTGCTTATCTGATGTAAATCAAAATATTTGATTTGTCACTTTTGACCTTGAAGTATCCACCAATTAATCATTAAATTCTATTTCAGTTCTCAAGTTCTCATTTTTGAATGTGATTCTCATCATTTTCACAAACAACAGATTTTTATCTGACTATCAGATCACATAGTCATCTGTGTGATGATAAATCTCTCCTTGTGCCAACCCTTCCTGACATGATCAAACTGTCATTCATGTCATAATGTTATCATACGTATTTGGTCCTTAATTCATTGTATATTCCTATAATTTTCAGGTCTTTTAAATCCAGAGTCCTGAGCGCTTCTTAATATCGACAAAATCACAAAAAAATATACATGAAACATGTAAAGTTGTCATGAGTTTACAAATCAGTCTGTGGAATAACCATAATAAAATGTGAACACAGTGTTAAACATTGAATCAGCTGCAACAAACTAGATTCTGATGATGATGTTATAATATCATGATCGAACCTTCAATAAGTTATGTCTTTCTACACTTGTAATCAGGATTTCTAAGTCAGCTTAGCATGTACAAGTAAACCAGCCGGTAACCATATTATGCAACACAAAGTCTGACCTACATCCAGCAGCTTTGTATTATTTATCTTGTACCTGTGCTGTTTAGAGATTAGCCGACACAGGATTAAATCAATTAATCTGATATAAAAGTGAAAAGTCTGCCAAACCAAAAGTTTAATCAAGTTTAACAGATCAATTCAGTGAGCTTTACAATGGACTTGTTAAACCAATGATATTCCATGTATATTTAAGATAGGATATTATAGACAATTTTGAAAACTAAAATTTCTATATCAAATTGATTTATTTTTCCTTTTACTAGGAGACAGTATTTGTTTGTACATAATGGTGAACAATTTAGGCTGTGGGATTGGCTGCACTGAGAAATCTTAAATCAATTATAAGGTTTTGTTGTAAATTTTTCCACATAGAGACATAAAACTGGATGGCTCACTGGATCCTCTTGTAATACAATCCAAGTAACATCATTTGACTATCACAAAATTCAAGATGGTCACCAAGGTTTCTGATTGGCTGAGAATTGTTTCGGTAGTCAAATGCTACATCAGGGGATTGAAATAAAGGAAGTGACCCTGATAAGGGCTGTCAGAGGAAGAATTGTTAAAATTAAAACTTTGTTGGTTAAGGGATGGCTGGAAGGTCAAGGGTCAAGGGCTGTGTAAGGAACAATTGTCTAAGTAAAAACCTTGTTGGTCAAAGGACGGCTGGAAGGTCAAGGGACGGCTGGAAGGTCAAGGGTCAAGGGCTGTGTAAGGAACAATAGTCTAAGTAAAAACCTTGTTGGTCAAGGGACGGCTGGAAGGTCAAGGGTCAAGGGCTGTGTAAGGAACAATAGTCTAAGTAAAAACCTTGTTGGTTAAGGGACGGCTGGAAGGTCAAGGGACGGCTGGAAGGTCAAGAGACTCAAACAAATGTTGATGGAAACATGGACTGTCAAACTGAAGGTCAAGGGCAAATGTGTCAATATTTGAATATGGTAATAGGTCCAAAGCTAAAATAAGGATGTGTTAGTTATGGTTGAATCCAAAGATGATAAACGACAAGATAGGACATAACGTGTCATCCATAGACCTCCGTTTTAGTTGACAGTTCAAATCACTCACGGGAACATGTCTAGGTATCCCCTAAAGTGAAGTTACTTTTGGGGGACTAGGATTGAATTTAAAGCAGTTAGTTTAACTTACATGCTAAGGTTGATCCATACCCAGAATCTCAGTGTCTATTTTCTGAGGGCCATACACAGAATATCTATGTCTGTATCTCTCAGCAGTAAATGAAGGGATTATTGTTTAACTGAAAGGATATTGGTTATACATGGAATGATGTTAAACATTTCATAAGTTGATGTGGATTATATAATGTTAAGTACAGTCTGGTGTGGATTGTATAATGTTTAGTAGTCTGGTGTGGATTGTATAATGTTTAGTACAGTTTGATGTGGATTGTATAATGTTTAGTACAGTCTGGTGTGGATTGTATAATGTTTAGTACAGTCTGGTGTGGATTGTATAATGTTTAGTAGTCTGGTGTGGATTGTATAATGTTTAGTACAGTCTGGTGTGGATTGTATAATGTTTAGTACAGTCTGGTGTGGATTGTATAATGTTTAGTACAGTCTGGTGTGGATTGTATAATGTTTAGTACAGTCTGGTGTGGATTGTATAATGTTTAGTACAGTCTGGTGTGGATTGATGTTTTGTAGTCTGGTGTGGATTGTATTATGTTTAGTAGTCTGGTGTGGATTGTATAATGTTTAGTACAGTCTGGTGTGGATTGTATAATGTTTAGTACAGTCTGGTGTGGATTGTATAATGTTTAGTACAGTCTGGTGTGGATTGTATAATGTTTAGTACAGTCTGGTGTGGATTGTATAATGTTTAGTACAGTCTGGTGTGGATTGTATAATGTTTAGTACAGTCTGGTGTGGATTGTATAATGTTTAGTACAGTCTGGTGTGGATTGTATAATGTTTAGTACAGTCTGGTGTGGTTTGTATAATGTTTAGTACAGTCTGGTGTGGATTGGTATAATGTTTAGTACAGTCTGG